CTACTGCTCTCACCTGGTGGGCATTTATTTGAGATATATCCAGCTTTATTATTATTATTATCATTACTATATTTAAGAAAGACGTGCACGTTTAATTTAGTCCATGGAAAATTTGAAAATGGTCTGACATTTTTTTAAAATGTCCAAGAATATTTAGATCATGCTTACATGCTTTTATACTAAACTTCCATTTTATGCAGGATATTAATCTGTATTTATGCAGTTTCTTTATTGCTTATATGAATACTCAGTGCACATCATCCACTGAGCTGTTTTCAAATTTTTTTCTTCTCTTTTCTGTATTTAAAGACCATCTGATCCTCTTCTTACTTTCTCCACCTGAGATGAAGCATTTTCCCTGTGGTCATTCCATCCATCCATCCATCCATCCATCCATCCATCCATCCATCCATCCATCCATCCATCCATCCATCCATCCATCCATCCATCCATCCATCCATCCATCCATCCATCCAGTCTGTGGGCAGGAGGTGAAGAAACACCTTGGATGGGACTCCATTCTGTCGCTATACCCTGATAAACTTTACTGCTCTTACAGGCTTTCTGATTGGCCAGCCTTCTTGACCTTTGGTCCCCAGAGCAGCATTTCAACAACCAACAACGTGTAAAGCTGTTTATTAAGCAAAATACTCACACAATTTCTCTGTCAGTGTCAAATAACTGCTCTTAAAGTTGAACCAATTTTCTCTGCTTGTTATGTATTTTTTCTCAATTTCATGTGAATGGAGTCGAGTGTTTTTGTTAATGTTTGTCCAAAAACATTGTTTTTGACAGGGGAGGTGCAGGAAAACTCTTCCTGTAAGCACAGTGATGCAAGTCAGCAGAGGATCTTTCACCTGTCAGCCACACCCATCGTATAGGCTTATCTTAAAGAGTTGCATCACGAACAGGTCCTTGAAAATGTGTGAATATGCACCTTGAACTTTAGCATATTCTGTTATGTCACAACCAACATCCAGGAATTTAATCTAGATTTAATCTAAAAGGAATTCACAACAGAAAGTTGTGAATTCCTGGAAAATGTAGGAAAAGGGCATACATTTTTTATTTATTTCTTAAAAAAATGCCAAACATAAGTACATAAATATTGGAGGTGCATCTGTTTTAATATTCTCTGCTATTGTACTTCAGTCACTGAAGCTTTTGTGGCAAATCTAGCAGCAAGTGTTAGGGATGTTTTATAATAAAAGAAAAAAAAGTTATATATATATATATAATACTCCAAAAAAAGCAGCTTTACCACTTTATTTCATCTCTGGCTGTGTGTTTAGGGTTAATGACTTGGCGGATAGTGAACATTTGTGCCTTAAGCTGGGAACTTCTTCCAGGACTTCTTTTTATTTTGATCCATCCATTTGCCGACCATCCCACATCAGCTTCTGCATCCCCCACTGCTACCACCTTGTTTTGGAATGGTTTGTTCAGAGGGTTTTACAGATTATATCTTATTTTTTCCAACATAAATAACATGCTGCATCAGGCCATATATTTAAATTTGCTCTTAACTGATCAGATTAGTCTTCTTTTCACTGTGTCTTCTGCATGGATCGGGGTAAATTCCATATGGTTGTTACTTGCCACTTCCCCCCAAAAAACAACAACACATCCAATAGGAGATCTATTTCCCCACCTGAGCTATATATATTTGCAGCTCCTCCTTGCTCAGCCTGTCAGCTTAAGGTGATGGTGTCATCTTGCTATGTTTGAGGTATTGTGATTGTCTTTCTATTTCTGTACAACATTTTAAATTTTGCTAGATGAGAGACCTGGGGGTTTATATCGAAAGGTAGTGTTCATATTGAAACTGGAAGACTTTAATCACCAACTAGTCGCCCAGTGAAGGTAAGGGTTTTGTCAATGGGATCAGATTCTGAATAGAAATATTAAAGCCAATTTGTAAAAACCCAGAAAAGCATGTGGCTTCTTCATTCCACATCACAATGTATGCAGTATGTCAGGTTTATCTGTCACATGAGACAGAGGAGTGGATTGAACTGCCCCAGGATCATTTATTCTGAAACAATGTTTTTTTTTTGGTTCTGCCTTTGCCCTACCTTTCTCATACCTCATCCAAAATAGTTGGTTATCCTGAGCTGTTTTCTATATTTATTCTGCTATAAATTTAGGCTGCTGGAGGCCACTTTTCCTCATTCTGCTTTTTTCTATCACTATTCTCCCATCCTGCAGTATTTGTCCATAACTTTATATTCTCCCTGCTTTTCTTGTCATAGTAGTGTTGGGACATTGAGGACCAATGCTCATGTTTCACCATAACATTTTCACTTGTGGTGAGGGTGAAGTTTTGTTCCACAGTGCTTTTGCCCTCTCAAAGCTTCTGCAAAACTTCCCCCAATTTGCTTCTCAAGACACCTCCCACAGAAGTGTGCCTTGTCAGAGGTAAGAACAGTAAAAACCTCAGCACAGAGGATTTCTCTGTCTTTCTGTGGGTTCACATTGGAAGAGGACAACACCATGGAGCCAGCCCCAGATCTGCAGAATGATCAAGGCTAGATCATGATGGCTGACATTTCAGAACCAAACTGCTGCAAAACAGACTTTATGTAACACATTGCTCTTACAGAGCAGGACTGTAGGGGAGGGTCTCCTGAAGAAGCTGTTCCCTTGGTTTAGGCTGCATGGAACAAAGCCCCCCTCCTCAAACCTTCCAAAATGGACAGGAACAGAGATATAAGGTCTGGCAGAGTTAGGGACAGATTCTTGTTAAACAATATGTCTATTGATGATTTTGATCATTTCATGTGTTTACTGATGAGTAAAGACAAAGCTAATAGGATGGATCACTGTTGTTTGAGCTGTTGCGGAAGCTCGGACAAGCTTTATTTCACTAAGAGTTTAAACACTGATATGACATTAGTGTTCATGTGCTTTCTTATATGCTCATTACACTTCGATAACCAAATTATGACCAAGAGTTGTTTAGTGGAATCCTGATGTCTATTCACTGCTAGCAATTTCAAAGAGGGTAAAGAATCATTTAACTAAGGATTAAGCAAATCATTTAATGAAACATTATTTGGCCAAATAATGTTTTATTCCCCTCATGGTTGTGCATTGTGAATTGGTCTGAAAACATTGCAATCCCTCTAAATTAGTGAAAAACTAATTTGATCACAGATTCTTCAAGATAAACTGGTTCACAAACACAAAATCCATTCTAAACTGTGATATTGTTTTTAACCATGTTTCCTTTTCCTCTTTGTACACAGTTGCCATGATCTGCTCTGATAGCTGGCCTTAATTGCTCATTTCACTCACCTGCCTAATGCTGCTCAGTTCCTAATCCGCTCTGATCTCATCCACCTGTAGGTTCTGCTTTATATTCGTTCCAGCCCAGCTATCAAGGCGAAATCGTTGCTTTCATTGATGTTTGTTTCCTGTTTGCCTTTTGTTAGTTTTAGTTATTTCTATTAAGGTTCATGCTCCAGTGAGGAGTTTATTCTCTAGTCTGTCTGTCTATGCCTGATCTGTTTGCCTGAATCACGGTTGGACTCCTCCTGGATTCTGCCTCGACGCACGGGACTCAGAACCTGCCTTCACGCTCTGGTGGATTCCTGGAACCAGATCTGTCCGTTCCTGAGTGGATCTGAACGCATGAGCGGACTGCGGACTCCTGGATTCCAGTACCACTCCAGTCTGATCTGAGTCCCTGTCCTGCATCCGAGTCATGCTTGCTCACTGGGGTTGCTGCATCAGGGATGCTCTGGACGGCTCGGGGCCGCTTCTCTTTGGCAGCGCATCGGCTGATCCTGCTTATCATTGAGGATGGACTGAACTGTTAAACCAGGTGACTCACTCTGATAATCATCTCCTGTTCAGATGAACGTGGTCAACAGCTGTGTTTCTCCCTAAACCAGAGAGTCAGCCAATGGCATAAATATCAGTTGCTTAGGGGCCCCTGACCTCTTAGGGGACCCGTCACTGACACCTAGTGGCCCCCTTTGCAATTATGGACTAGGACGTTTCTTGGCAGATGTAATGGTGCGAAATATTGGTGTTGTACTTCATATCAACACACAAACAGTAGGGCATGTGTTCATAAACAATATGACAGTCTGAATAATATCTGATTAAATAAGATATTTACCACCCCTACCAGGTTTGTCAATAAACATCTTACAGTATCACAACAGTAGCTTGATCTGGGCTTCTCCTTTTACTGAAAACTGTGTGTGCTCTCTTTCATCATCTGGCATGGGAACTGTCTCAGAGCTTGTCTGCCTGGCTGTGTCTCTCATAGACCAGGCCACCTGTGGAGCAGGTTAAAAGCTATCATTTGTATATCTGCTTCTTTCTGTATGTCTGCATCTAACCTCAGTCAGCCTCGGCAGATGCTTAATGCATGCTCGGCGTGAGGGATTGCAGGAGAGTCAACAACATATCAGTAAAAATGACGCAAGCTCATCCAGGAAGAGCAGGTCCTGCAAGTCAATGACTTAATATAATAAGCTGTTTTTTTCTTGATTAAAACGTTTCACAGGTCTGATTGAATTGTCTCTGTAAAGCTCCTTGATGTGGCATATGTTGTTAATTGGCACTTCTCCAATAAACTGAATCAAATTTGGCTGTTACTCATACGAGGAAAAGTGCAAGGAATTAGCATAGTTCTAAGGCAATATGATGCGTAGAGATGTGTGATAAAAACAGGTCACATTAACACCAAATTAATCAAATTTTTTTTATTTTTTATGAGACAACAAAGCTAAAATTATTTTTGGTCCAAGGTTTAGTCTCCAATGTGTTTTGCAAGTTTATATACCACATAACTTGACAAAAAGAGAGAATTATATTTCTTTACCCCCTCTTGTACATTGTATATAGACAGTTTTGGAACCCAAACCCAGTGCAATGGATAAAGTGGGAACAAGTGATTGGAATGAACATTTGCTACTGCTTCTTGTATAATAATTGCACAGGCCTTCACAGAGTAAAAGCTAATAGGTATATTCTTCATGACAATCAAAGATGTGCTCAGCACAGTGAGAATATAAACATCAGTTTAACATTTTCCTTTGCATATCCATACAAAACAGCGACTTTTAGGCAATGCACAAACTAAACCAAATACAACTAGTAAGGCATTAGGCGATGCAGAACAAACGTGTGCACACAACCACTGATATATCAAGGCTAGTTTTTCTCCGAGGTAGAGAATGTCCATGAGAAGACAGAATCCTAAGTTTAACATTTTCAAGCTAGATTTCTGTAAATGATTGATTTAAATTTGTCCTTTTTTTTTTTTTAGAAGCCACAGCATAAAAGATGCAGAAATGTTGGTGAAAGTTTCAAAACACATTCCTTCTGAATGATTCCATAAACATGTTTATGCAACACAGATATGCACTCTTTATTAAGGCAATAACTGGAATGAGCTGCAGTATAGAAAACAGTATGTGCAGGGGTGGGAGTGGGCTACAGACATCACCAGAACCAGCCTGGATCACAGTGGCGGCTGTGTGTGTCGAGACAACAGCTCTGAGGTCACCACAGTTTGGGAAACTCAATGTGGGAGAAGCCCGGATCGCTCCTCAGCTCCCAGTACGTGTTGTTGCTCACCCAGGTGTCCTCCTTCGACTTCCTGTGGAGATGACATCACAATCAGATGATAATTATGATGATGTGATTGTGTCTAGATAAGCGGCTCAGATTTTTATGTTTCTTTAACTATTGGAATGATTTTAAGGAATTAGCTATTTTTGCTTTCAGTAAAAATCTCTGCTTTCAGATAGCACAAACTGTTCATCTTGGTTTAAAATACAATTTCAGTGTTATTTTGAGTAGTACATTAATTGTGGGGATAACTGAAGTTCATTCCAGGCTTATTACAATTTATTTGAATATTTTCTCCCACAGGTCAGTGTGATCATACAGCGAATAGCTGTGATGACTTTTAAAATGAAGAACTGGGGAAAAATTACATTTACAGTTTTATTTTTTAATAAATACACTTCAAAAACCATACCTACAAGTTTAAATATGCAGATAATCCTCCATTAATATGTGGTTTAATGTTCCTTAGCAGTTTGCAGAGGAGCCACACCCTTGTGTGTCACCTCCACAGCAGCTCCTCGTGATCTTGAGTTAAAGGGAAACACCGTTTTTTTTACATTGGGCCCTTGATTTTACGTTATTACATCATGTTCTACTCAGTCATATGAGTTTGGTGTCATTTGGAGCTGTTCTGAAGATATTCCGTTAGGTTATATTCAAGTAACGTCTTCCTATTGGCTACGACTTGAAGGCACAAACTAAACTGTTCATAAATTATAATTTATTGTACGCAAGCGTTCATAACATGTAGGCGAATCACTGTCCCCCAGACACCTGCGGTTATATTTTTTTATATTTATATCTTTTAAAAACAAAGCGGAGTGTGTATGACGTCATTGTTGATATCTTACCAGTAGTTTTATAAAAAAAAAACTGCCTGATGTTTGGTTAATCATCCAGTAACATCTGATTGTGTCAATTTCAGTACAAGTTAGTTAAGGACGATTTACCGTTCCCTGACCTATTACCGATGCTTTTTTTTTTTTTCATTGTATTACCAATTTTAACTGCAAATAATCACAACTTGACCCAGTCTTCATTAAGACAGCAAGAGTCCTTTTTAAAGCCAATTTGTCATAACACAATCCCATCTCGCAACTCAGCATAATCTTGGTTTAGTTTTCACCTAAGAAAACCATGTAGCTGCCTATTATGTCATCCATTTATAACATAAAAATATTTGGAATCAATTTAGTAAAATTTAATTATCCACAAAAATCATGCAGGTTTTGATTCTGAAAAAGTTTTATTTGGTTAAATAAAAGTTTATTAGGCTACCTGAAAAATTTGGGCTGATGTGCCACATTGCTCTCCTCCAGGACTTTCCGTCGGTCTCTCTGCAGCTGTTCAATTCGTTGCTTCTCTTCTTCTGCTGCTTCCAAGTTCCCTTCCTCCAGCAATCTGCCAGACACACACAATCACAAAGACTGTAAATTATTTCATAGACACTGTTCAACATTAATGTTCAATATCCCAGATCTAATCTTCACTCAGATCTTTTATCAGAGCCTCATTAATGGGAGATAATTTAATAACAAATAAACAACAGAACCAGTCCTCTAAAGAGGCAGAAGCAGAGACATTATTTTGATGATGAAGTCATGAATGTTTCTATTTCCAGTACTGCTCAAGGGTAGAGGCCTTACATTTGAAGATATTTTAAATGTAAGCTAAAATTAGATTGCCTACCTGCTTGCTATTCATAAAACTATTGCTGTGTGTATTTTTAAACTTGTGTGTTTTTTTTTTTATTGTTGAAAGGATGTGGTTCAGTCACAATGTCAGATTAGATTAAAACATTCTTTTCTCAACTAATCCTAAATATTACAAAGTTACATTACTATTAGATACATATTTTTAAAGCATTTGTTTTTCAATATTGATTATGTTAGCATCCTGCATGAAAAATCTAAAACATTTTTAATAGAAAAAGAATGTAACATAAGATCTATTAAAACAAAGATATATAAAACATAAATGTCAGCCAACAAAAAGCTACTAATACTAAGTCACAGCAGACTCAGAAAACTTCAGACTGGACTTCAAGGTTTCTTCCTACACCTCCTTCAGACTTAAAGACCTTAATGTCTACAGAAAAAGGTGCAAAATGTACTTTCCTCTGAATATATAATATATAGAATTAATCCAAAGTTTAGGTGTTGTCAGAAGAACAGCTGTTGTCTTAGTCATGGTGGCTCTTGAAGCTTAGACTGCCTTGTGAATCTATTTTAAATTTTCTAAATGGGCTTTGCTTCACAGTTTTTCCTTCCACTCAACAATCCATTAATATGCTTTCTACTGCACAGTTTTAGCAACCAGCTCCTTCAGCAAATACCTTTCATGAGGTACCTCCATGACTGTCTTCAGTATCAAAGTTAAGTTAGCATTGTTCTGCCATAAAATAACATCTTTTTATAAAGAATCTTATTTTTTTCATGCATATGCATGCTTCTTTTTTTTTTCTTTTTTTTTAGTATTCTAATTTTCAAGGAAAATTAATTTGGGTTTCTATTAGCTGCAAGACATTTCTTCCCTGTTTATACACAATACATTTAACATTTTGAAAAAAATGTATGAACTTATATTTCAGTTTTGATAAAACGAATTAATAAAATGTATCTCCAATACATATTTAATTACTTATAATAATAGGTAGAGATTTTAGCTGCATTTATATTTGATTCACATATTACCTCTGGTCGACTCGTAGTCTGGTGTCTGTAGGAGGCAGTAGCTGTTTCAAAGAAGGCTCCAACTCATTTAGCTCAATTGCAAACTTTGTAAAGCCGTAGTACTGCTCATAGTTCAACGGCATCGGATCTACACACAAATGAAATAGGACACATTAATACGGTGAGTTTATAGCATAGCTGATTGTGCTTACTAATGGTGGACACATACTTGCCCTCCAGATGCAGGTTGCTGATGGCGGGTCTCCACAGAAAACTGATTCATGCCATTTCCCAAACAGCCTGTGGACGACCTTTCCATTAATATCCATTATGGACCCCTCCACCTCGTTCACGCTTGAGTTCCAATATTTGGCCTGAAGGAAAGAGCACGGATAAGTGATGAGGATGGATGAGAATGGACATCTTATGGTAATGTCCTCGTCCAGCCAGCAGATGATACTGTTGTGTAAACCAATCCTACCCCCCTGGGTGTGTTTGTGGCAGGGATGGAGTGTGTGAGATGAGAAATGAGGACGCATAATGATTTCTGACATGCCCCAACTTGCTGTCCTGCACAGCATTAGACAGACTTTCAAGAGGAACACTCAAACAGCATTAACCCTCCTCCTCTCTATGCAGGCTAACATGTAATATTGTTTAAAACATGCAGGGAAATGCAAATGACGGAAACCATCTGTGTGGTTAGTTGGGAAACTACTGAAGGGAAAACAGAATTTACAGTGATACTTAGGATTAAAATGAAGGCTTTAGAGACACACTGACATATGATGAATAAGAGAGTGATAATATGAACCTCATATTATGGTATTATGGTGGAGTTATCTTCCAAACTTGTAGAAGTGTCATAAACCCAGAAGCTCAAAGGCTGTTATTAGAAAGATCTGCATCATTCCTGGAAGTATGAGTCACGTAAGGTTAAATTGTTGCACCTAAGGAATTACCCACTCACACTAGACAGAACCTGCATTAAAATAATTCTGTACTGGATCAGGATGCAAATCATGTTCATCATAACCAGCAAACTAAGAGCATCTCTTTAAAACTTTAATCTTAATTCACCACATTCGATAAAGCCTCAATACATCAATCCTTCTACCATTCATGAACAAAACACAAAGGCAGTTCAACATCTCAGCCTCAGCATAAACTGACCCTGGACCTGAAGGAAACAGTCCACCTTTTTCTGACTGACATCCATGAACTCAGACTTTCTTCTTGTTGCTTCACAAACAACTATAATGTAACCTGTTATGGTCTTGGTTTGAAGATACAAACAGAACTAAATCAACATGCAGAATCATTTATTTCTATAATATGTTTATGTATTTTATATTTCTTTAAGCACTGTTGCCTTTGCAGCCAGAAGGTAGGATCTTTCTGCATAGAGTTTACATGTTCTTTGAAGGTTCCCCTGCTTTCCTCCCACAGACCAAAATTCTGACTGTTAGATTGATTGGCATCTCTACTTTGCCCTTAGGTTTTTGTGTGAGTATGGATGCTTTTGTCCTGCAATAGGCTGGCAACCTGTCCAGGGTGTAAGGGGCAGTCATGGTAGTTAAAAGTTACATCTGTTATCTATTCTTCTTACTTCCTGTTTTATTTTACACTTACTTCTTGTCTCATGTTGGGGAACTTACTCCCTGAGTTTGTTGGCCTATTTATTCCTCACTCAGGCAGCTTCCCTTAGTCCGTCTTTGTCCTTTCTGTCAAGTGTTCCAGAATTTGCATTTCTATTTAGTCTTCTAGTGTTTTTTTTTTGTCTCAGCCTGAATTTGGACCTGCCTCTGCCTCTGTATTTTTGGTACTTCCATTATAATTGGATTTTTGGTGAAGGTACCTTAAACCTAAGCCAACTGAATTGTAGTCAGCATCGTAGTCCTACATCTCTTAAACCATATGCCACACAGTGTACCCCGCCTTTCGCCCATAAACTACTAAGAACAGGCACTAGCCTAAATGATGGTTTCAATCTGGCAATCTGTAATGTTAACCAATAGGTTCATTGATGTGTAATTAGTGATTAGTCACTTTACAACTTTCAAACTGTGTGTGACCATCCTGCTAGTTTCAGAGATTAAGCACATGTACATATACACTGCTATAGGAATACACAAATCTGCAGAGATATAACTACCTCCCTGTTCAATAATTGAAATATTGCCACATTTTTTACACTTTAATAAGCAATACATATCAACTTTATCTGCCTGAAATTTATGCTGCTAAAAAAAGTTGAATTCTGACATTAACTTTTCCTTCATCTTTAATGAAATCAGATTCTAAATGACTGCTTTAGTGAGTAAATGAGTAAAAATCAGAAGATTTTACATTTCTTCATTGGTATACAGACACTTTTAGGTTGCCATAAAAAGTTCTCTGGAAATTGAAAGTTAATTATTAGATCAGCAGGATGCCTTTCCATTAAACAGATTGTAAAAGCAAATGGGCCGTTTTATGTTAGAAATAGTCATTAAGATTTTTCAAGTGATAAGGTAGCTATCAAACATTTAGGTGACAAAAAATAATCAATAAAATATAACTCAATTGTCCCATTTACCTTTTTTGGGCTGAAAACAATGTATAAAAAGTCTCAAGATTTGCACTCATATTAAAACAATTTCTTAATTCATATCAATAGCCATGTACGCTAAAAGACAACTTTGAACAATGCATTTACTTTTAGCCATATTTAATATTGAAAAATTGTCAAATCATTAAATCGTTATTTTTTTCCCTTTCACCTTGATAAATGTGATCTTGCACTGACAAACATCGCTGGCTGAGTTTCTAATTGAGATCTCCCCATAATGCTCGATCCAGCGCTGTCCGCTAAGGATGTTGTGGATGCAGGACGTCACTTTATTCCATTCATAGTGATCCCCAAATCTGGAGAGAATAAGAAAAACAATTTTAGCTTATTTGGTTCTCTTGGACTTTCTTTATTTGTTAAAGAATGTCCAAATACGGAGTTAAAAGTTATCTATATCTGTGATTACATATGTAAGAAAACATTTATTTTCTTAATTAATTTCTTGGCTGTTTTTATCTATTTCGGATGACACATATATTGAGATCACAAATTAAATAAAAAAGGTACACTGGTCTTAAATTAACCCAAATAAGTTTTGACAAATGGTCCCAGATGATATAAAGGGAAACTGTTGAAAAACACAGGGTCAAAACTGCATGAAGATGGACTAAAGGAATTAGAGCAAAAGAAGGTTGGATCAGTGCATGTAATTATCAGAGCAGAAAGACTTACCTCGGCAGCGTGACATGAGTGGTACCCACAGGAACAATCTCCATCGACTTCCCCCAGAATTTGTTCTTACACCTCACATCTAAAGAAATAGTTACCATTGATCCTTTGCAGGGTGGGAAAGCATTGTAAAATACCAATATTCACACATACCTTGCCAGAAGACAAAGTTTTTAGATTCTGCATGGCCAGCTGAAATAGGTGGGTGATGACTGACCTGGCATTGAAAAAGACACATTTATTTTTCCTTAAGTTCACTGCACATAAATTACACTTATTCGAGTCTTAGCTTCAGTCTTATCAGGGAGTCTGCATACTACGCTTTGCAGAGCTGATAAAAGAACCAAAGCATCATACCTGCTCGGCAACAAAGCGAAGGCCTTTGTCTGGCCGGTCACATTCATATGTCTCTCCCAGAATGGGATTGAAAGGTTTTCCTCCAGTTCTGTAGTAGCTGGATGCATATCCGGATACCACAAAAGTGGCAATATAGATCTACAGAAACAGAAATCAGATAAATTACAAATGTATTGGGGTGACGATTATGCCACAACGGATCTATCCCATGAATATTGCATATTCTTTGTTAGTAACTATTAGTATTGGTTCAAAATTAAAACCAGATCCTATAATATTATTATACATACTTAAGCTGAAAGTGGACAAATTCTTGCTCCTTGTTTAAGGTCATAACTTCCACTATCTCATTTGACTTGTTTTGGCATTTAGTGTTCTGCAACATAGATCTTCTCTGTGAATTTGTTTAAGTTTCATGGCGCAACCTTTTTTTTTTGGCAGCTGATTCCTAATGCATCTGTGTCATTTATCTTGTCCTTTACGGCAGACTGCACCACCCATATTGTCCCTGGTTGAAACCATGTTTTATATTTCTGCAGTTTCTCCAGTGTCTGCAGATTCTAGTTTTAAAAATATAATTCCTTATCTTACACTTCCTTAAAAAAATTAATTGAAAACATTCAAAACTAAAATGTTTAAGACTGATTAACAGTAAATAAAATTTTGAACACATTCTCTGTAAGAAAAGGGGAATTTCTTCTCTATTTCTCAGGGTTACAAGAATAAAAATTACATATTTATTTTCTCACTGCGTGTTCTTGATGTATATTCTTGGCAGATTTTTTTTTTCCCCCCGGTGGTGTCTAAGGATAGTGTGAAAATGCTGCCATAGACATGTACTATGATGACATTGGAAGAGTTTTGCTCTTGTGTTCTTGCAAATTATGTGGAGGTGTGGCCTTATCCAAATTTGGTTAGCTGCTTTGATGTTGAATTAAAATGGGAACATCACCTTTATGCTCCGATCTTAAATGTGACAACTACAGGACATTCAATGGTTTGTTTTAAAATGATCACACTTTGGAAAACACACAGCTTTGGCTAAACAGCACGAGGAGATGCAGCCAAAAAATTAGGGTACAGAAGCTCAGCTTGGTTCTATTGGTCACTTTAAGTTGATTCTGGGATTAATGCCAGATTCTGAATTCAAAAACCTAGGATTTTATGCCTGACAATTTGATAAAAAAAAACAATAAAACCCCCCTGCTTGTTAGTAATCAATATGTTGTAATTTTGAAGTGAAGTCAGTCTAGCTTTGTAAGAGATATCTGATCTAAAATAAACTCTAAATGTCAAATAAAAGAAAAGAAAATAGTAACATTCTTTACTTTATTTTGATTTTTTTTTAAAACTACAACCAAAGGAGAATAATTTCTCATTTTTTAACTTTTTCTGTTACCAATCTCTGTGTTGGCAGTCCAAAAAAAAAAAAAGAAGTTGAAGTCAGACCTAAGCTCTAAGTTGCTAAAACCTAATTTATTTTGACCACTTATAAAGTTGCACAGTTTTGGAGCGCCCGTAGTTGGAATGCAACACCTATCTCCTATAGCAAGCATGCACCGTAGAACAGCTTTACTCAGACACACACCAGGATCTAGGGTTGTCACGATACTAAACTTTTCAACTCGATACCGATACTAAGGAAAATATTCGATACTCGATACCATTTTCGATACCACAAGGATAAAAACAAAGACTCTAAAATTCTACAGAAATATTAACATTAATAAATAAAATACAATAAATAAATACAATAAAGGTTGTATGCTGTGCACAATATTAAGCAAGCTTGATAAAAAACGTATAAAATTAAAATTAAGTATACCTTCCTTGGCTATGCTTTGCACACATAACAATGACACTAGCCAAACCGGTTAAGAAACAAAAATAATTCTCAGCAGCTGCACCTCTTACAAAAAAAGGTCTAAAACTGAAAAGTGCACAGAATTATTCAATCACACAGTGTTCAGAAAGTGCATTGTCCTCTATTCTGCACTTTAGATGAATGACTGCTTAGGTGCCACTGGTGGTGGCACTGTATCAATACTTTTAAAAACGAGTATTGTATCCGGATACAACATTTCAGTATCGATACTTTTTTGAGTATCGATACTTTTGACAACCCTACCAGGATCTAATTGGTCATACGGAAATACTGTGAGCAGACCATCCTGAGCACACAGAAACATTCACTACAAAATTAGGCAGTGTTGGTCCTGGTGTATCTGACTGTAACAGGTCTACAGGCAGTAAGAAGGCCTTGAGATTACAATTATGCTCTGTTTCCTCAGATTGCAATGCAAAGAGAAGTAATATGAAGCAGCATAACATTTTTAAATTAACCTGTGTAAGTTCACACTCAGTTGATAACAAGTTAAGGAGTAATATACCTTTAAATATATGAAATCACAAAAAGTAATTCCAAAAAAAAAAAAAATTTAATCACAGACCATTTTTTGTCTGGACACCTAACACATACAGACACCACAAACTTTATATTTGACAAAGACATACTTAGCCAAACAATTATGAAATACAATAACATTTATACTTAAAATGATTGTCGACTTCATCATGGATTACATTTGTTCTCAGTCAAATCCCAAAGAACATTTGAAATAAACAGGTTATCTTAAGGAAAAACAAGCCAACAAAAACATACCGGTAATATAAAAAAGGCACAAAATCCTTCTTTGTCTCACCATGCGCTCAAAGGGGTCCTGTGTGTTAGCAGCCCTGTCCAGCAGCTCGCTGTACTCCAGCTCCTCGCAGAGTCTCTGCAGGGCATTAAGGGGCTCGTTAAGATGCACAGGCATCGTCACTTTGGACAAATCTTTGCCTATGTTGTTTCTGAGGATGTTCCACAGGCTGATTGTGTTGTTGGTAGGGCTGGGGGTGGGCAGACAGGATCTACGTGAACAGAGGGCAGCACCTTCAACTGAACCTATGTTGGAGAAATAAGATGTAAAAGGTTGAAGGTGAGACACGCTTAGTGAGGGAGAAACCATTTAACAAATTAGCTTTTCACCAGTGCAGTGAAACGTACCTATGTTGGGTCTTTCATTTTCAGTCTCATTGCTAAAATTGTCCATCGAAATGTTGTCACTAATGTCACTAATGTATGAGTCATCATCGGATACCTTAAAATAAGAAAGACATTGAGACGGCAGCTAGTAGATTAGCAGAAAGGATGCAGACAGGTCTCCCAACATTCTGTCATGTCAGTTCTGGTTTTAACAAGTGGATATGAAGGGTCGTGAGCACCTGGTGACAGAGGTGCACATCACCTTGCTGTATTTTTAGATTAAAGTAATTAACCTCCATTTTCACATTGCTCCTGCTCAAGTTACCATGTCATTTAACATGGAAAATGAGGGGAATAAAAGAACAAGGCTAGAAAAAATGGAAATCCTGTTAAATGCAGAATTAAATGCCACTTTTTTTCCCTAGATAATAAGCGACTCAGGAATTTGTAGAATCTGCCTTAAATATCGGGTTCAAGTAATACTATATGAATACCAGTTAATAGTTAGACAATCTTTGATATTTCTGTTTAATTTTTGACTGCCAGGCTGACATTTGTTATGGGGGGTGGGATGCTAATTAATTGTTTCATGTGAAATCCTTAAGGAGAAAAAAAAGAAAAAAGCAAGACCACAAACATTAAGCAACAGACTGGTGAGTAGTTCGGAAAATAAGGTGTTCAAAAATAGAAACAAACAAAAAAAAAAAAAAAAAACTCATGATTACATCATCCTGGTCAAAACTCTGCTCTGTGTATGAAAAATCTAATTTAGCCAATGGTTTGTTCTTTTAAGCACAATTTAGAGGAATCAACCTTTCTTTAGAATGTCGATCATGGCCATGTCTTACACATGAATGCCTTTGCTCAGTGCACTCACATGCTAGATTCCCTGGCAAGGTTTGTTACAAACTGTGAAGCTGTTATCCATGCAATCTTTGCATGTGCACCGACTTGGCTGTCTATTAATTTACAAGACTATTTTTAAAATTATATTATCTGTGAGCCTTTGCACATGCGAGCTCCCTATAAACTATATGTATGCCTGGAACAAGCTCTGCTCACTATGTGATTTACCGACCAAACCTACCTCATTTTCAGAGGAACTAGCAGACAAGAGGACCTCTTGTGCATCAAAAAACTCTGACAAAGACTCTGCAATCGAAGCTCTGCTTTCGTTGGAAACCTGGTGCACAAGGGGATGGCAGTCTTCTGCTGATTCCTGTTTCTGAGAGGAGCAACATTTATAGTCATAATAGGAATGGGAAAAGAGAAATGAAAACTCTAGTTGTTGAGAAAATAAGACACCTTCCACACTTACGGCAGTCTTGGTTAACGTTTATAAAAAAAACCTCTAAAATAGTTACATTTTCTACTGAAGCAGCAACACCTCTCACTATAAACTTAATACAACATTTCAACCTGTAATCTCAGTTTATTTAGTGGGAATTTTTTTATTTATTTAAACAAAATCGTCAGTGCCCTGTAAAAATAAAGATTTGGCTAAACCTGAAAATCTTTAAAAAAACAATAACTCTATGTGTGGCTTGTGATGAATAGATGAATATAACTGTAACTTACGCCCACTGTCCAGTATGGTGAAAGACCAGTCATCCTGTGGGCCTTGTGTGTCAACAAAAGAGCTATGTCAACTGCAGATCTTTCGTTTGGATCAGTACAAAGATGGTTTTCCGGGAGCAAATTTACAAAAACCATCAGTTTTCCAAACTATTAATTTATTAATATGTTTTTTTTTAATAGTTAATAAATTAACTCAGATTAAAAGTTGCATCTTGTCAGAGAGAGATTATGCTGCAGCAGGCAAGGATGAATGTCATCTAAGGCATTTCTGTACCGTAACCAAGAGTGCCAAGCTATATGAAGGGCCCTGTATCACAGTTAATGTGCAAAAAAGCAGATGTGGCATGCAACTAAAATATTTATTATTTTAATCTATGTTTTAGAAATGGTTTATCATTCATTTCGGCAGCAAAATGATCTCAAAGCTGTCAAAAAAGCTACAACTTTACATTTAATACATTTTCAGGGATACTATTAAGGGAAAAAGCCCTCACTGTCTGGATTACAAAACTGATTAAACATTGAAAAGGCTTACTTAGAAAACATTAGGGGGTTTGAGGTATATCCTGAACTCTGCAATGATGAAAAGAAATAAAACTTAACATGCATTTTTTAGTTGAGGGAGGGAGATGTTGATTGGGGGTGAAAATAATCACAAGAACAGTAATAATCATGATGGGATGGGAGGGAGCCAAGTCACTGCATTCCTGCACCCACCTGCACAGGGGCAGTGAGATTTATTAGTGTGGGCTCTACGATGTGAGACTCGGCATGAATCTTGCTCAGGCGATCTCTCAGCTCAGAGTTCTGTGCTAAAGCCTGGAAAAATAAGTGGCGTGAACAATATTTATGCATACACACACTCCACCCAAACTATGATAAGTAAAATGTTGAAAACAAACTGGCTTCCAACAAATCGTTCACTATTTCATTTGGAGATGTGTTACACTCTGTTCACTCAAAGCACATGTGGAGGAGTCGAAAGGACAAATTTTTGGCATGAAAAACTGCAAATATGACAAATAAGATGCAGAAATATCTCTTTTCCACATCTGAATATGTTTATTCTTTATGCCAACCCATTTATTCTCTGCACGACAATAATCGTCTGTGGCTAAATAAGAGAAGATAGAAAAAGCCTTCAGATAGGAGGCTTGGTGGGTAGAGATCACACCAGGAGCCTTTAGACCGATTCCGCTAAAAGGCTCATCAACGTGTCATGTCTGAAAGTATGAGTGAGGAGAATGAGCAAACGCAGCTCCACCTACCGCTGCCAGGGTGTTCTTTAGATTGACCACTTGGGGTGAAGTTGGAGGGAAGGAGTCGTGATCCAGACACTGCTTCAATCTCTCCCTCTCTGATGTTAATGAGCTTAGCACTGACTTCATGGCTGTGTGCACTAACAAATAAATAAAAAAAAGAAGGAAAAACCTCAGAACAATGTAGATTTTACATTATACTTAGTCACACTCATGGTTTAACCATCAGATCTGATTGTCTCCTTTAGTTTGAAGCTCTGATCTCAATATTTAACAATATGTTTTTGGTTGAAGTGCATCAATTAGGCACTTGATGAACAATGAAAAACTGTTTTTCCCTTTGTTGTTAATAGTCATGGTTTTCAGCATTTTTGGATTGTGTGGATTTATGTTTATGGATTTTTGCTTCTGTTGAACTTTTTTTGGATCATAAATCTTCAAGTAACCTCTTTCAGCTTCAGTCTGCAATTTGGGTCCTGCTGTCAAACCTCCACCCTACTGTGACATTAACGTATTGTGTCACAAACCCTCTTTTGACTGATTTGAATAGACCTTGAAAGCGGGCCGTTGCATCTGGCATCAGGGTGTTAGTAGCACATCCTTTTTGGTCTTGTATGTAACAAGGTGGAGCCTCTGTGGATCAAACCTGCTCACGCAGAACATCCTAGAGATGCTTGATTGGGTAATTTGAATTGAACATCTGAAAATGGCTGATCTAAGCTAGGTGAAGTGCTGCACACATAAAAGCACTGGTATTTTTTTTCTTTCTGTAGTTGTAGATGTTCTACTTGGTTTCAAAGTTTATTCATTTACAACTGCAAGTAGGCCTACACACATGTTTTGACTGCCTATTGTAATACTGCTGGACAAAAGTACAGTAGTGCTGTCAGCAAGCATAAATTCATGCAAACAATGAATCAGTGGTTCTACTGCATGGCCATCTTTGTTAAATCTCTGTAAAAATATTTTTAAACCTCACCATCTAATGCTGAGTTAGCAAACAATATGTCAGTTTATCACTTCCCCAAATGGTTATGCCGATCAAGTTCCCAGCTGAAGGATGCTCAAAATACAGTGAAAAAAAAACTAATCTGCACAAATATGGCATTGTATTTTACAAAATTAAGATGTCAAATGTAAAAAAAAAGTAACTACACATTTAAATATGTATGTGCTTTTACACTTGTTTCCAGTTCACATGTGACATCGACTTTTAGAAAACCCACATTCTCAGTTATACAACTTTATACAAAATATACAAGATTTGTTGCTATTAAGCCATCTATCAAAATTTAGAATAACCTAACAAACTTACTATGACATCCTGCTGTCACACTCTGAAACTGTGTGGTAACTTTTACATTTTTCATTTTCAAAATGAGTTGCACATTTCATATATTTTCATTAGCCTGACTTTAAGTTAGCTTTTTGCAGAGCACACATTTAGTTAACTTTATTTGTAAGGTTGTTTTTTTAGTCAAGATGCATTTGATTAATTTCTTCTTTCTTTAAGTTGCCAGTTTCTGCTGGCAACTTAAAGACTTGGGATCTGCTGGTGTAGGGCTGCAATGAGCTCCAGCTTTCCTCAATTGGTTGTTGCAGGCTAATCAGCGGGGCCAAACCATTTGTAATGGGAAGGGAAATTTGTTTATAATTTGTTTAAATATTCTTAGTTTGGGTCATTTAGTTAATTATTTAAATTTAAAATGTATTTAGTGTCTGGCCAGTATTTATCTGTTTAATTAAGTTTGTTTATTAGTTTGTTAGTCAGTTATCCCCCTTGTGTGTCAACAGTGGTCTGATCAGCCACTATTTAAATTTCCTTCATGGCCTGTTTGTGAGGTCAGTTTGTTCTTGAGTTCTTTATGTCAAAGCCTGAATTGAATTCTGTTTTGTTAAACACTGTTTTTGGGCCCAGTTTATCATCTTTTGAACATTTTGGGAATAAATTAAGAGTTTTTTTTTTTAAATTAAGAGTTTTCTGGCTGGTTTGTGCAAATCCCTCACACTTACATTTATTTAAAAATCCTGCTTTCTGTAATGCTTAGAATTGAGATGTGATGTTTAGTTAATTTGTTTTATCTGGTATCAACATACACGTCTAATTCAAGTACAAATTATAGTTACATGATATGTGGAGAAAAGATTAGGTGAGTTATACAAAGGAAAAGATTAAGTATTAGGAAAGGCGTCTATTTGTGGTATAAACCAACAATGCCTCTGAGTGATTTCAGACTGAATTCTTACTAAAACAACAGTTTTTTCTTTCATATTCCTCATACGTATTTCATATTCCTCTACAACAGTCCTCCTCTGGGATTGCTGCTGTCCAACAATAAATCTAATTCTGACAACTGATAAATTCAAGTCTCTGCCTCTCAGAGCAATCATTGCACAAGGGTGGTCTCAGTGGATGTGTTTAGGGTCCTCAACTATCCAACACGAAACCTTTAAAACACCGCCTTGCTTTTTCCTATCAAAATCTGTATCTAGTATGTTAACTTTGATTTTTAAGTCGCTGGGCACATCACATTTGTTAAAGTCAAAACGATCACCATAAAGCAATGCTGCATTAACATTTTTAAAACATGTCACACAGCATGCAGCAAGCTTGACCTTGGCTGGAAATGGGCCTTCTAGTGAAGCATTCAGTGATTTAACTATCAGAAGATGTTCAGGAGTCAGAACGACCCAAATGGGGACAAGAATCTGCTGAAGCACAGGTAGAGCAAACAAATGAAACGTTGAAGGCAAAATAGTACAAGCAGGTTTGCTGGTATCATTGCATCACACTGGTAGATCAATGTTGGTATTTAACTCTAATCAGTTTCAGCAGAGTTTTTTCTTCCTTTTGTTTTTTGTTACTTGTGGTACTAATGCATAAACTAATGGTCCAGTACGATTTAGTCTAATTAACAGAAGCAAACAACCTGTTTCATTGTGTGCATTACAATCAATATCAAAAAGGAGAAACCCAGAGCTTAAAAAAGAACATAATAGATATCCATGTACATGCTAAATGTAGAAGAACCAACACATTCTCACTCTTAGCTCCCAACTAAGGATGGGTTAGTGTTAATTTTTTAGTTTACGATTCATTGAAATCTTTTCTCAATTTCCCGTCACAACCTGTACTGCATCCTGCCTTATAATAAATTACGAGAGGTACTGTGGTATCAGTATCTGACACACAGTGGGCTTGACAAACTGTCAGTAACTGACTAATGAGGCTACTGTATGTTGGAAGAACACCTCAAAGCAGCTTCTTGATTCGTTGAGGCCAGAAAACAGGAGTCAATTCCTTCTGACATGCATGTGGAACTACAACCCCAGTTGATCATATTTGTAGTTCAGTCCAAAAAAGCAATTTAAACTTAACGAAGCTGTTGACAAGGTCAAGGTACAAAACTTAAATACTGCAATTGCTGACATAATTATCTGATTAACCAAGCCGCAAAAATATTGAAGATTTTACTATTGAACCTCTAGAGAAAAAAAATCATTTTTTTTAGGCACTTTAGATTCTATTTATTTCATTTTATTTATTTAGCGCCAGTTCACAACACGTCTTCGCAAGACACTTTAGCAAGACAATTCAACCACATCACACATTCAGATAGGTTCAAAGTTTTCTAAGGAGAACCAGTTGATTGCATCAACTCATTGACTCAAATGCAATCCCTCACACCAAGCATGCTTGTAGCAACAGTGGAGAGGAAAACCTTCTTGTAACAGGTAGAAACCTCCAGCAGGACCAGGCTCAGTGTAAGTGGCCAGCTGAGGCCGACTGGGATCAGCTCTATGTTTACAGAGGGGAAAATTACGCTTTAAAGGGATGGATCATCACATCTATTGTAAAACACACACAACACACATTTATTGCAGATCTGCTGAGTGTAAAGGCCAAAGGATTTAATTTTACTATTCATCAGTTTTTCCAGCCAATTCTCATCTGAATTTTAAGCAAATTTTTAAAATGTACAAAAAGAAAAGGCAAATTAGTCATGTTTCCATCTATTTGGAGTAAATTCACCAGACAATGCAAAATGTAGGGTTGTTATACGTTGAAGATACCCTTGGCTGTAATAGGGAGGAACTAGCGTACATTTAGGATCCCGACAGTGAAAACAGAGGATCAGTAACATGAGGTAACTGTTTGCTAGATCACAACCTACATGACAAACGTGTTTCCTTTTCTTATTTAGCGCAGTTATTGTTATGAAATAAGTTATTCATTAAAGAGACTTGTTTCCATCAAAGTTTTTTTTGCCAGAAACTATTTTCTTTAACCATGAACTGCTCCTTTAAGTAAAAGATTGTTTTTGTTTTTACCAAAATGTGTATTGAAACCTTTTGGTAGAATATTTGCATATAATTGCTAATGCAAGCTGTGCTGAAATCATGAGGCCATCATGGCCTCTTGTAAACAACACAGCTTATTTTAAATCAGAAATCCTCTAATATAGAACAAAGATTGGAGAAATTTTGGAAATGTCATACTAATACCAGATCATATTTATAATAATCCTTAAAGCAAATGCGAACAGGAACAGAAGACTGACTGATTTCACATTAGTGACCAAAGAATGTGACAAATCTAAACACGTCCTCTCTGAGCGTCTCTTCAGACAAAAAAAAAAATCGGCAGCTTTCACTCACAGTTGGTGGCAACACGGCAGAAGTCCTCCTGCAGCTTTGCCACATCAAACTGTGAATCCAACGATTCGGGGTCAACTTTGTCATTACCGAGTGCAGCGGTGGAGAGGTTAGGATTGGAGGCGTGGAGTCGGATGGACCCAGAGGAGATGCAGCTGGGTACCTACAGCAATAGCAGGAGGAATAGCATTTTGATGTTACTTATTCACACTAAAAAAAGATCAATCCCGTTCAGATTTTATTTTCCTTTTGTCACCTGCAAAGTTGTTTTGACATCTTTATTGTAGTTTTTATTGCGCCATTTCCTTTGAAGTCTTTTCTCTTTTTTGGGGCTGTCAAATGTAGATGCCTAGTTAACATAAAAGAAAATAATCATGCAAGGCGAAAGAGTTTTTTTTCTTTTTTCAAAGGATGTGTTTCACAGCTTCTCTTAAATGAAATGGGTTTTATATTTAGCAGCAGAGGACTTTAGGGCAAATCACAGAAGAAAAGCAAGTTATTTTAAACAAATTATGAGTCATCTACTATTTTGGATGAGTTACAGTATGTGGGTAATCTTGTGTTGCAGTCATTTCACTCTGCTTTCAAAAGTATTATGCAAACAGAGTCTGACCTGCAGTGCTTGAATAGACGGAGCAGAATAGGTGCGGTGGAGGACTTCCATGCTCTGTATCAGGTGGTTCAGCTCCAGCAGGTAGGTCTCACACACTGACAAGTCTAAAAAAGTAGGAAATCAACTAATGATTCAAAATAGAGGCAGTCGATAGCAGGTTAATATATTCAATAGCTTCATGTAAAAAAACAAAAAAAACAAAAACAGACTCTTTAAAACCTTAAAACATCAGTTTGTTTTCTTCTCAGCAGAATCAATAAAATAAGCACAATCATTTCAAAGGCCATCATTCCAATAACACCTGCATAATGGTATTTGAAAGGCATGTTCATGAAATGTTTGGAAGGCAATGACATGCAGTTTTACTCTCTTTTAAACCACATGATGATTGATCTGTACTAAATATCTGTAGACTTTCACTGGAGAGAAACTACACGACTGACTTATTGATATGATGAACACCCACATCCACTACAACAGGTGGGTAGTAACAACTAGGGTTGTCAAAAGTATCGATACTCAAAAAAGTATTGATACTAAAAAATTGTATCCAGGTACGATACTTATTTTCAAAAATATCAAAACCAATGAAAAGTGTTATTTTCTCTCTTGAAGTAACAGAATGAAGCAGAGAGAAGTAGACCTGCATCCAAAACCATCAAACATAGCCGACTCTACCATATATGTTTGACCAACATCGGAAATATGAATAAGTTACTTTTGTTTTCTTTTTCATCAAGCTTGCTTAATATTGTGCACAGCATTCAACCTCAAAATATTGTTCTTATTGTTTATTTATTTATTTATTTTTTTGTATTTTATTTATTAATAAAAATATAATATATTTAAATTGTGGGGTCTTTGTTTTTAACCTTGTTGTATGAAAATGGTATCCAGTATTGAGTATCAGTATAGAGTTGAACACTTTTGTATTGTGATAACCCTAGTAACTACTTTCATTTTCTTACTTAAATAATTTTTTTTTAAAGATTATCTTTAATCTAACATTCTACATTTTTACTTGGGTAATACTGTTGGGAAGTATGACTATTTCTACTTGAATAAAACTTCTTGCTACCTGCTAGACGTTTCCTAACATGTAAATGTTACTCATTGTAAGGAATGGTTTCATACATGGATTTGGAAAAGTGAATATTTTGTTATCATTTTATGGGTAGTTTTTTTATTTATTTCATTTTTAAAATGCAAAAAACACTTTGAAATAAAAACTGGAATTATATATAACATTTCTTTGATTCTGTTGAATCTAAACATAAATCAAATGTTATGACCCAACAGTTATTTAGTACTTGAGTAGTTTTACTTTTTTCCTACTACCGGTATACTTTTTTTAAAAATCTTACTCAAGTAATTTGTTGGATGACTTCTTTTTACTTTTATTTGTGTAAATAAATGATAAAGTAGTGCTTCTCTTACTTAAGTAAAATTCTTGGGTACACTTCCTTCCTCTGTCCACCATGTTTTTATTATTTGTTTTACTTATGCCCAATACCCAGTGAGCCCTGAACTGATAAAGTATGCGGTCTTGTTTTAATAAAGTCAATCACACAGTTAGGATTATATCTTAAGATATCTTTTCTGGAGCACATCTGCTCTAAAAATAGCCACTCAAATCACAAAGACCAAAATGAGGCAAACACTACAGCAGTAATTATAGACTTCCTGTGTTCATTAAGACCACTCAGGCAGTCTTATTTAACGTGCTGTTTAGATGAGACATAAGCATAATCAGGGGTAAAGACAATGTGTCTATGGGGAATTTTTAGAAAGAAAACATAATTGTTGTAACATATTGTTCTTAGCCACGACTCTGCAGCATCTACAGTTGTGATTTCTGCAAAGCTTTATGTTAATTTATATGATCTTCATTTCTGGTAAAGATTCTCAGTCATCCAGGTCATAGTCATTCCAAAACAGTTAAAAAACAAAAACCTAAAGGACAAAGGACACTCGTTCCAAGACCAGAATGTTCACATTTTGGTCAAAGAAGACTGATGGTTTGAAAGGGGTGTAAAAAAAGATATTTGTGTTATGAGGGGTTGGTCTCAGGTTTCAGCTCTCAAAAACCTATAATGCAGCGATAGAGTTGATTCCTACTCGCTATCATCTCAATCCTCATTGCGATGCAGGGGACCAAAACATTTCGCCTGGTCAGCCAGGCCAACAATGAACCTAACGACTCCTTTTTTAGAGGCATGGGCCAGTATCGATTGTTGTAGGCTAACAATGACCTCAACAACTCCCCATTACTAAGGCGTAGACCTGTTTTTTTCGGTTCCATTTAAAATAACAAGGCTTTTGTTCGGACCACTCTATAACCCTAGAACTTAATGCTACTCCAGACATTTTAAATTGAGAAAGTTTTCTTGATGGGAAGCAAGAAGTCTTCAAACTTGGAAATCAAAGCCCAGTGGTTATTTTTTACTTTTTTGGAAAAATCTTCATTTGGAGAAAAAAAAAGCCTTCAACTGACAATTCAAATAAATTATAATTTACAAGAGTTGGAGGCAAATGTTGGAGTTTGCTGTGGATTTTCTGCTATCCTCAAATGGTCAAAATTATATATATGAGCCAACTTATACGTAAACCCAGTTGGCAGATGAATGTGTAGGGTATTGAAGCCACTCTTTTTTGTTAACAAAAGAAGAAATTATAATTACCAGAAAAAAAGTATAAAGAGATATCCCCTCAGTGCTTTGGAGCTGAACATAATCTGAGTTTTTTTTTTTTTTTTTTTTTTTTTACATCATTTGCATTTCAATAAGTGTCTTGACAGGTAGTAATTTTGTGATGTCTCACTTAGAGGAATTACAGGCTTGTTTGAGTGTTGCAATGCTCACAAATGTCTGAGGTCCCTGCCTCACCTTTGGAACATTTGTCCATGTCATCAGAGGACTGGAGCCAGGCTGCTACTTTGGCCTGGCTGTTGGCGCTCAAAGGGAAGCCTACTGCAGGATGCACTGAGGACTGCCTTCGTATCGACAGACACTAAAACAGCAAACAGATTCAAAATTACAGCAAAAAATAAAATCTCTTTACTATAAATCCCTTCGCTCATTAAATAGTGAATATCAGTCTAATTGCATGCTTTGCGGTGCTCAGGTTTACCCTTCGCAAAGAGGCACCCTCAGCTATGCCAGGGGAGTTTGGAGAAGGGTAGATGGGATAGAAGAAGGGTTTCTCATTGGCACACATGGCGATCTCGTTCTGCCGAAATAGCCGATGATGGCGCAGCTTAGAAACCCATTCGTCAAAAAGCTCCTGTGACTTAATCTGCAGCCAAAAGAAAAAAAAAAACAACACAAAGTCAGAAAGGTTGAAACACCATCAGAAAGTTAGAGCACTTCTTCAGCTGACAGAGGAGTAAAGATAGATTTAGTCCTTCTGCTGTTATTGAATTCAACAGGAGGAAAAACTTAAACCACACTTTTCTCCTGGGTGAGTTATTTCATTCAAAAGCTATGTGGTTTACCTTCAGGTGATAGATGTTCTCCTCCGCGTCAAGATCAATACACTTGGCTTTCTTCTTAATGGTCATGACGGAGAGACCCACGTCAATGCAGCCATGCAGCTTCCCCTTCTCAATCTGGGAGTTGGCGCCGGCACAAAATATCACAATCATATTTGATTTATTATTGCACAAACGTAGCAGGATGATGTACACATTTAGAATAAACTAACATTGGCTCTTTGGATCTGACCTCCAGCCTTGTTGAAAAAAAAAACACTAGCAAGTAGAACAGACAGCATGGTTTATAACAATGATAAAGAGATCGAGAGAATAGGCCATGGTGTTTTTCATAAACATTCTCAGAAATATGGGATGTGAATCACAGATGACGTAAAACATCCCTAAAACATTAATGTTTTCAAATTTTACTACATTAAAGCCACACACTTTGATAGGTGTTATCAATTTTATGCATGTAAGTAACCTAAATGCTGTTTTTTTTCCTACTTTTGTGAATCTTTTAATCCACGATTATATGTTATAGACGAAAAGAAAACATCCATCATTTTGACATGGAATGAAAATGATCTATCAAATATATCCAAAAAAAAATGTCTACAGTTGTGGCAAACAGATGTATTTGATGCCATATTTTTCTTGATTCTCATAAATGAAATCTAGCGCAAGCAATTGCATTCACCAAATAATAATTTATAAAATGTAATGTTAGTATATATCTATCTGTTTTCTGAAGGATTTAAAAACTATTCAGAGAACATACGATAGGTAGACAAACAGCATGAGACCAAGACAAAGGGTCAGAGCAGAAGACCAGCGTAAGGATGTAAACACACTTAAAGCTGACTTAGGCAAAGAAAATTATACCTAAAGCTTTAAATATGTGATTGATGGTTGCTTAATCAGTCACTTGAAAAGTGACTTTTTGGTGCAGTAAACTCTATTAGAGTACTGTCATAATTTTTACTCTGTATTTTTAAACTTCAGTAAAAACTAGAGCTTCTGAAGTAAAATTAAACCCTTCTTTTTAATCTAATACATTAATTTTGTGGAAGAGTAAGTTTTACTTAAATATCCCTATACTATTTAAATGTTTAATCGCAGTATGCACGTAAACCTTTAAACTTTACTCTCAAAATTTAGCGTTTTAAAACACAGACGTTACAGGATCACACGCTGAGCAACACAAATTTTGGCAGGATGCAATAGTACTGAAAAGCCTGCTGCTCATGAGACTGATATATATACCCTGAGCTTGGCGCTACACTTTTGCAGTCTTCCAAAAACTTTTACTGGAGTTGGCTGGATGTAAACTGTCTCGAAAAGTAAACACTCTGAAGTTGAAGTTGCTTTCCTTAATGCATTCATGATTTTGTCACCTTAGGGTAGGAAAATGTGGCATCAAATGCCAAGAAATAGCAGTGGGTTCCAGTTAATCCTAGGTTGTCTGTCATTAATGTTTTTTTTTTTTTTTTTTTTTGCCAAATAAGGTATAAGTTATTTGGCAAAATATAACAGATACCTTTATTCAAATATCTAGTAGATTTTTTCTTCATTGAGAATGGTTAGACAGTTTAAGCTGTTAATTTTGAATTGTGTTGATTTTGTTTCATTAATGTTTATCGCATATTTGACTAGTGACTATATTACCAGATATGTATTGGATGTAGTGCATATAAAATACTGTTTATTTGTTGTTTAAGTGATACCAACCTTATCTTTTTTTCGGTACACATTTGTGCCTTTGAAAAACAAGTACTCTTCACATAGTTTGTTTAAATACATGTAACATACAACTTGGATGTAATTAAGTAAATGTTACTTAATATGTTTACAACTGTTATGTCTTATGGAAAGTAAAATACACTTGATACTGACAACTGAGTGTTACTTGATATTGCAGCATTAAATTGTACTTAAATCATTTGCATGCAAATACTTACTATATATTTCTTAAATAAATTTATGACTTGTTTTTTTCAGTGTATAGCAAAACTGCATACAGCAATATAATGGCTATTGACCAAGAAGAGTAAAATCATATTGATATAAAGCTTTTATACAACAGGGAAAACGGTCAGAATTGATAGGAAGTTGGAGTGTGGATCCCAGCTTGCATCAAAAATTAGGTGTTGAGATACTTTTGCAGAAACTGAACAACATTGAAAAATGTCATTAGATATTTATATTAAAATTCTTAGAGATACAGAAAAAAAAGCAGCTGCATTAGCAACATTTTAAGTGTTTAGGTTACTTTTGTTTCATTGTACTAATATTTTAATTTGCAGAAAAGAATGAATACTAAACTTGAGTAAAGTTTAAACAAAATTCTTCTTTTCAGATTTTTATTTCTAAAGCAAACTTAAGTTACTAGAACAATTTTCTTTCACTTCCCAGGTATTCAAAAATTTTTTTGAGTTATTTATTCAAATTTCAATAAAACAGACTGAAGACTAAGACTGAAATCTGACAAAATGTGAAAAACATTTACAATAAAATAAAAAAGTTTTTTTTGCAAGTTACTGTATTAGATGACAGCAGTGCATGATAATGTACTCACGTCAGCATTACACTTCCCATATTTAAGGACCCCCTTTTCTAGGAAGAAGTATCTCTGCGGAGAGAAAAAGACATGGAGGGATTAGAACCATTTCCGTCAGCAAACCAAAGACTGTGTTAAAGCTGTAATTCTGACAGAGGAAACCTCCTGATGATCTCTGTAATTAATTTTGGTGTAGTCGGATATTCGTCATTCCGGACTCTTCCCTTGTAACTGTCTGCCTTTATTACTGCTTCTCTCACTCAGAGCCTCTCTTTCTCCTCTACTAAGTGCAATTATCAGGGCTCTTATTGTACATAACAACAATCAGACTGGTGAAAGCCAGAGACCGGACTAGGAGTCGATACTAAATGCAGTTTAGTAACCAACAAGCCATCAGCTAATGGATTTGAGTGGGGCACTAAGATTTCTAAACATTATCAAGTGAGGAAAAGCTTTCAGTTCAAATAGGCGCTGACCTGGTGCTTATGTGATGTTATCCAAGAGTGGAATCATCATCCCAGTAATATATCAGAGGAAATGTAAAGATCCTAACAAATTAGTTTTTTTACCTTGTGCCAACCCTTCATTGGCCACTTCCTCCTCTTCAGCATGTAGCCTTCCTGTTTCTGCGGTTCCAGGACATTACTGGCTCCTCCACGCAATCCCTCCACTATTTCCCAGCTGTCCTGCAGGTACACACAGACAAAAAAAAAGGTTAGATGCCCATGATGTCACAAAATATTGCTAATTGATTAGAATAATTTCCACCACCTCCCTAATTTTCGTTTTTTTCCCCCTTTAGTCACTTTTACATCTCAGCCTTCAAAATATTTACAGTATATTAGGCTGGGTATCAAACAGTCTATTCAACTCCAAATATATCAGTGATAGGCAGAGTTTTAATGCCTGCCACTAAAAATATTACGGTCTTCTTCATCTGTGAGGACTTTAATATTGATCTACTTAACTCAAATAATCATAAACCAACTGAAGAGTTCATTGATACCATGTACAGCCTTTTTCCCAAAATCACTAGACCCAGCAGGATCACACTTATCAGTGCCACATTATTAGCTAATAGATTTACTAATGTCTTATTAATAATTATATGTCAAGTGTATTAATAGTTCAGCATATTGGTGATAATCTTCCAGTCTTTGTTGTCATCGACACTATATAAAAATAAGAAATAAGGATAAAGTAACCCACAATTTAAAAGAGTAAGAACAGATGTATCACTCAAACCTTTCAAAGAGGACTTATTGAACCATAACTGGAAGTCTGTTTTATAAGAAGATAATGTTGAAAAAATCCCAGATTGAGAAGGGAAAGCAGTGATAAAAACTGTCCATTAATAATGTTCTCTCATAAAAACAAATCCTCTGTGTCATGGCTTTGGTTTTGTTCAAATTTTATCTCTGAGTTTTCATTGCTCTTATTTTGATTCTTATGTTCTAGGTATTTTTGATAGTACAGGTGCTGGTCATAAAATTAGAATATCATGAAAAAGTAGATTGATTTCAGTAATTCCATTTAAAAAGTGAAACTTGTATATTATATTCATACATTACATACAAACTCATATATTTCATATGTTTATTTTGTTTAATTTTGATTATTACAAATGACAACAAATGAAAATCTCAAATTCATCATATCAGAAAATTAGAATATTACTGAAGACCAATAAAAACAAAGGATTTATAGAAATGTTGGCCAACTGAAAAGTATGAACATGAAAAGTATGAGCATGTACAGCACTCAGTATTTAGTTGGGCCTCCTTTGGCCTGTATTACTGCAGCAATGCGGCGTGGCATGGAGTCGATCAGTCTGTGGCACTGCTCAGGTGTTATGATAGCCCAGGTTGCTCTAATAGTGGCTTTTAGCTCTTCTGAATTGTTGGGTCTGGTGTATTGCATCTTCTTCTTCACAATACCCCATAGATTTTCTATGGGGTTAAGGTCAGGAGAGTTTGCTGGCCAATTAAGAACAGGGATACCATGGTCCTTCAACCAGGTACTGGTAGCTTTGGCACTGTGTGCAGGTGCCAAGTCCTGTTGGAAAATGAAATCTGCATCTCCAAAAAGTTGGTCAGCTGCAGGAAGCATGAAGTGCTCTAAAACTTCCTGGTATGTGGCTGCGTTGACCCTGGACCTCAGAAAACACAATGGACCAACACCAGCAGATGACATGGCACCCCAAACCATCACTGACTGTGGAAACTTTACACTGGACTTCAAGCAACGTGGATGAAGTGCCTCTCTTCTTTTCCTCCAGACTCTGGGACCTTGATTTCCAAAGGAAATGCAAAATTTACTTTCATCAGAGAACATGACTTTGGACCACTCACCAGCAGTCCAGTCCTGTTTCTCTTTAGCCCAGGCAAGACGCTTCTGACGCTGTCTGTGGTTCAAGAGTGGCTTGACACAAGGAATGCGACAGCAGAAACCCATGTCTTTCATACGTCTGTGTGTGGTGGTTCTTGAAGCACTCACTCCAGCTGCAGTCCACTCTTTGTGAATCTCCCCCACATTTTTGAATGGGTTTTGTTTCACAATCCTCTCCAGGGTGCGGTTATCTCTTTTGCTTGTACACTTTTTTCGACCACATCTTTTCCTTCCCTTCGCCTCTCTATTAATGTGCTTGGACACTGAGCTCTGTGAACAGCCAGCCTCTTTAGCGATGACCTTTTGTGTCTTGCCCTCCTTGTGCAAGGTGTCAATGGTCGTCTTTTGGACAACTGTCAAGTCAGCAGTCTTCCCCATGATTGTGTAGCCTATAGAACTAGACTGAAAGACCATTTAAAGGCTTTTGCAGGTGGTTTGAGTTAATTAGCTGATTAGAGTGTGGCACCAGGGGCCATCAATTTTGAACCTTTTCACAATATTCTAATTTTCTGATATGATGAATTTGAGATTTTCATTTGCTGTCATTTGTAATCATCAAAATTAAACAAAATAAACATCTGAAATATATGAGTCTGTATGTAATGTATGAATATAATATACAAGTTTCACTTTTTAAATGGAATTACTGAAATCAATCTACTTTTTCATGATATTCTAATTTTATGACCAGCACCTGTATTTGAGTTCTTAGATATTTCCTGTTTGCCCTCTTGTGTCAGTCTCCTTTTCCCTTGCTCCCTTCTTGCCTCTGTTCACACCTGCTCCAAATCTGCTATTTAGCCTGGTCTTTGTTTCTCTCTCCCATATAATCTCCTGCTGTTCAGTCACTCTTGGCTTGATTGTCGTCATTACTTTGTCCCCTTCTTGTTGTGAGTATTCCTGGTTTTCAGCATTTTTGTATTTTTGAGTATTTATGTTTTTGGATATTTGCTTCTGCAGAACTTTTGTTATTAAACCTTCAAGTAACCACCTCATGCGTTTGTGTCTGTATTTGGGTCCTGTCAAACCTCCACCCCCCTTGACACTCGGAAGCTCCATGGATCACAAAGCGTTTGCAAAATAACTGCAAATAAACTACCGGTATATAGAGATTTCATAAGGTAGAGGTCTTTGGAGGTAGAGTATACATATATATAGGAATAAATTAAAATTTGAAAAATAAATTTTACTACTTCATACCACTTTTTAGACGATTTACATTAATCATTGTTCTCTGGCTGAATATACTGACAGGTTTATTTGGTGGAGGATTTTGCTTACGTTCAGGTGAATTTAGTTTGGAAATTGGTGTTTGGTTCGGTTTGATGTTCTTTTTTGTATATTTGGTTGATTCATTTATTGTTTTTCAAAATTGTCTGAAATTCATTTTCATTTTTTCAATGGCCTGCTGAAGGTTACATCCTTTGCATAGGTGGCATTACACAAATTGATATTGAAACGAAAAATGCCAGTCGATATATTGTGCCCTAAACGCTAACTTAATTCTGTTTTTGAATCAGTCAGAAAGTTCTCAATTAGGGCTAACACTGCATAAAATTTTCATACCCTTTGAACTTTTTAGAATTTTGTTGTTACAAACGTAACGTTAACCTCTCAAAACCTGTATTAAAGCGTTACAGCATTTAGAAACAATAACTCGGAATGCATGAAAATTACACTGGTAAAATGTTTACCAATATAGACATGTTAGACATCGTTGGAAAGCTTAGGTTCTCCACAATTCAACGACCTAAATCATTTTATGGACACAGCGAGCACCAAATCACAATTAACACAGATATAGCATATATATATATATATATATATATATATATATATATATATATATATATATATATATATATATATATATATATATATATATATATATATTTTCCCCTACTCTCTTTGATTCTGTTTTATTTTCCTATATTTTAATTGTGTAAAGCACTTTCAATTGTATTTGTATTGAATTGTGCTATACAAATACATTTGCCTTGCCTTGCCATGTCAAAATGTACCATGACAAAGCAGCCACAACAAACAAATGACCAAGCTCGTCAAACTACCACCCTAAAAGCCGCTGACAAACCCCAAACCCCAAACCCAAGGCCTGTCTTCAGGGTAAGGTCCCAAAGTCACCACACCAGGCCATGTCTTGGTCATCATTAGGGCTTTGTGTTTAACAATAAAGCTAAAGTAACTAAAGACACCATCATAGGTTTTTTATTTAATTCAATTTTTTTGCCTCATAGTCCCACTGGACAAAATTAGCTTTCTGATCGGATATTATTTGTCACTATAATCCTTTCCTGACTGAGATGAAAAGGTTTGATTCCTAATCCCTAGCAAATACAAAGCTTTAAATGATATTTCATCATAAAATTAATCCCCCACCGCAGTGTTTTTGTGGAAGCTGGAAGATTTCCAGGAAGGCTTTAGAAATGTGTAAAGAAATCTTCTATATGTGCAGGGCAGTTGTGTTAGAATCACGGGGGGCTTAGTCCAGGTTAAAAATAAATTCAGATCTTTATTCAGGTCCCAATGGGAAATTACAATGAAAATAAAAAAGACAAACATTTAACTACATGGGAAGGCTTGGAATGCAAGAATATTAACCTGGGAGATAAAAAAAAAATTAAATAAAATGTGTCTGTTAAAATCAAAGTTGCTACAGTAACTTCTACTATCCGGTTGGCAGTTGACATATCTGTGTATATGGTTTATATTAATTGAATACCCAAACATAAATAAAAAACTTGGTAAATCATATTTCTACATATAATGCGTCTTAAATATGAAACACTGTCAAGTAAACAAAAAGTGTTAAACTTTTTATGTGGTTTTATGTCTTTTGTTAGCAGCTTGTAAAAAGAACTAAAAAGAACTGAACTTTGGTTCAAGTTGTTCTAAAGCGCAAAGACACTGTGTTCCCTCTGGGTCGGAATGTGATCCTTTCCTCATCTACATAAATTACTTTAATAAATCCTCCTGATATTTTTTCCTTTTCCTAGCTTTCCCATCCTTCATTTTTACAGTACTTAGTTGATTTACTTCAATTTTAAACCCCTTTATTCATTTGCATTATTAAAGCTTAATCTGCTAGAGCCCAGATTATACATTACTTATTAAAGCTTTTAAACCACCCCTATGATTAATCATAAGTAATTTTGCCAAATATTGAGACCTTTTTTGTAGTTTAAACTAAGTCAATTTTAATCACATAAACTTTTCTTTATTACTTTATTACTATTTATTTCTTTGCATTGGTTTATGTATTATTTTCTTGTTTAGCCAA